GACTAAGGTGCACCTGATCTAGGCCATGGTCATCTCAGTTATTTGCTATGCATCGGAGAGCTGGACAGTGACTAAGAATGACAGAAAAAGAATTGATGCCTTTGAGTTATGGTGCTGGCGAAGAGTATTGAACATATCATGGACAGCCAAGGGAACAAACAGATCTTTCCTAGAGAGGGTAAAACCAAGTTACTCTTGGAAGCAAGGATTTTGAATCTTCATCTTATATATTTTGGGTATGTAAAGGCCAGGAGGGACCAGTTCTTGGAGAAGGACATCACAGATAGAGGATCAGCACAGGAGAGGAAGATCTTGGATGAGATGGATTGACACAGTGGCTATGGCTGAAGAGTCAGGTGTGTCAGAGATGGTGAAGATGGCTGAGAAGAGGGCAGGGTTCAGAGCTATTGTTCATAGGGTTGCTATGAGTTGACTCAGTGGCACATAACAAGATGAGTATGATAATAGAACATATCTATTAAGGTTATTGAAAGGATTAAATGCATGAGTCTGTTGCACGGTGGTGCCTTACATCCTGCTATATTAGGGGGAGCTCCCCCCAGGTATGACAAATACCTATAGTGGATGTATTTCAGTGGAACTTCCAGACTAAAACAGACTAGGAAGAAGTGTTTGGAAAACTACTTTGAAATTAGCTAGGGAAATCTCTACAGTGATGACTGCAGAACATTGTTCCATCAGAGTGCTCCCCTTGGGTTGTAAGATACTCAAAATAGCCAGTCAGGAGAACCAATATGGCCACGGCAGGGGAAGCAGCATGACAAGCTTGAGGTGCACCGAGCCACATTGAGACGGGAGCCCCACTGAGACGGGAGCCCCACTGAGACAGGAGCCACATTGAAACAGGCCACCATGGCCCTCTACAGGTTATCTACACTTGAACAGTTAAACAGTAGACTACTGGCCTTCGATATGGATTGAAGCTCAACATGAAGAGGACAGAGGTTCTCGAAAAAACTTGAATGAGTCCTGCCAGCAGCCCCATGGTGGGGTGGGGGTGGGGTGTCACCGCAGCCAGAGCCCACAGGTCCCCTCACCTGGGTCAGGTGGCGGGCACCAGGCCCCTTGGTCAGTACGATGGATCCCCTACATGGCCACAGAATAAACTTATTTTAAAAGAAATTCTAGGGGAGCTCTGGTGGCCTAGTGGTAAGGAGCTGCAACGACAATCTCAGAGGCGCACGGTTCGAATCCACCAGATGCTCTGCCGAGGAAGGAGGGACAATCTCCTCCTGTACCAGTCAGATCTGATTTGACGGTACACTCAACAAAAACAATAAAATAAAATTAAAAAAAAAGAAATTCTTGGAACCAAGAGGGCAGTGGCAGTGGCGGGGAAACAGCATGAGGAGCCAGAGGTGCACCAAACCGCATTGAAGCCGGCCTCCATGGCTGTCCACAGCCCGCAGTTTATCTAGACCCAAACAGACACCTGATCTTCAGGATGTACTGGGGCTCAACATCCAGAGGACAAAGATTCTTGAAAAAACATGGGTGAGTCCTGCTTCCACCTACTGCCGTGCCCCCATGGTGCCACCACGGCCAGACCCCAAGTGTCCCCTCACCTGGACCGGGTGGTGGGCCCCGGGCCCCGTGGCCAGTGCAAGAGAGCCCACTCACAGCTGGAGGCAGGGGTGGTTGGCGGGGGCAGCAGCAGGGCCATGGAGCCACAGGGGGTGAAGGACCAGATCCAGGAGAGCATCGTGCTGTCGGTGAAGATTTCCTTGTATAGATCCTGGACAGCAGAGCTGCTCAGTGCAACACACCTTTTGATTTCTTGACTACTGCTGCCAAGAACTGTTTAGACCTTAGGCTGGTCTGTTCATCACTCTGAAAGCCTCTTCTCCATTTGTAGGGCGGGAGGCTAGTGATGCCTGCTTCAAGCTGCAGTTAGACCACTTGGTGGAGGGGAGGGGGAAGATGGTGGAGGCGCTGGAGCCAGGGTGTGGTCCTTGGCCTTGGTCTGTAGTGGAGCACAGGGTCCAGACCTTGGCAGGGGGGTGGGGGAGTACCATCTGGCCCCCAGAGAGCACTCCCTGGCCCCTGGGAAGAGCCGTCAGGCCACTGGGGAAAGCCCCCCCCCAAAACAAAACAAAACAAAAAAACACCCAGTCACTGCATCTGTGGACACAGACATATCAAGGATTGTGAAGATGTCACTGACATCCAGCAGGCTTTTGATTGTGTTATACACAAGTTGTCATTGGCCAGCTATGTTCATTGGCAGCTCACAGCAACAGCAGTACCCAGAAAGTGTTTACAAAGTTCTTCATCCACAGCTCGTGCTCCTGATGTTCTTCATGGACAGTCTTCGATGGAACCCAGATGTTGAAGTGGAAGACTCCACAGGGATGGTTATTTTCCTGTAGCACATGTTCCTCCCAGACAAAAACTGAGCTGATGAAGACAGTGCTACTTTCCTAATTGGCCTTCTGCTAGTTACAGTAATTTTGTAATTGCTCCTCTGGCTTGTGTTGAGAGGATTTAATAGAAAGGCCAGATCAGAGGGAAACTATTAGGCCTTCTAATTAGTTGTGGGCGTAGGGAGGAGGATTTACGACCCCTCAGCTCCGTTTGTCTTAGTTGAAGGACAGTTTGTTATGCAGAGACCCAGCGCTGGCCAGAGCAGAATGCATGTGTGTGCATCTGCTTGTCTCACAGTTTATGATACCACTGGTGTGCCTGGGATCTCGGGGGAGGGCTAGAGTTACATGTCCTTGGAATAAGAAGCAAATTGTAGAGACCAGCGAATCATACATTTCTGTCATTATCATGCAGAACTCGGCTGCATCTGTGCTGCGTCTACCATAGAAAGCAGCACACAGGTCTGCCTCTGAGCGTGGTGTGGAAAAAATAGTAAACTGTAAACCTGGAAGCATTTATCTTAACGGTTTGACGTAGATGGCTGGTGATTTTGTAAATTCTGTGATTTTTATTGATTAGATATTGTAATTTATTAATTGTATTAATCAACAGAAATTACTGTTGTGAAACAAAATGTCTTTGGGATGAAAATCACTATGATTTGGAACCTTTCATACAAATAACATACATGTTGTAATCTTCCAAAATAAATAAATTCTGTGATATTTATACCTTACACTGTAAAGTAACTCTGTAACTTGCTTGTTTTCAAGTTGGGTGTTTGTTGCTTTATTTATTTATTTCAACCCATATTCATAACTCTAGCTTTGAAAGTTTACCAAGAGTCTAAAATGTTAAGCTATCATCATTAAATAACCTATTATATTATTAGCTATATCACTTCTATGTTTTTGGAACTAGCACCATGCGTTCTCTGTCTACATAAATAGGCGAGAACTCTTACAGACTGTATACAAGGGTATTGGTGGAGCTTGTTTCTCGTCCAAAGATAAGCTTATCCCTGCTTTATCTCCGTATGATTCTCCAATTTTGCGCATGTTGACCCTTTTCTACATTTGTGATCATTCCATTACCATTTGAACATTGCTGTAGAATTTGCTTACTTCTGAACATTGTAAGTGAAGTGATCGGATAATTTTGGAAATTTTCCTTGAACTGTGCATTCTGCTAAATATTCCGGGGAAACGTCTTGGCACTGCTAACTCTGTTAATGCTGGTTACATCATTATGGGAGCTATAGATTTCTTGGGTGCGTAAAGTGATTGCATATTCATGAACATCTTCAATCCTGAAATATTTGTAAATAACTTGGCAATTTTTTCAGAAGGTTGCCTATTAAAGTGACTGACTAGGTCTTTAATTGTTTGCCCAGAAAGAAAATGGGCATTTAGAACACCTCCTATTTGGGACAAGCAATGTTTCTATGCGAAGCAAGTTGCATTATGAACGTACAAGTCTCTTGCCTTAAGTGAAGTATAAGAGATGCTATTTTCCCCTGAAGAATGATTCAAGTTTGAAAATGTCAATGGATGCAAAAAGCCACCCTAGAGTTTTGCTCTCTCGAATGAAAGTAGAGAAGGAATGACATAGTCAATGTTAACTGTCACCAGATGAAGAGAAATCAGATTGTCAGGCCTGGATCTATAAAATTCTTGCCAAAGTAGGACCTCATTTACACATACAGATCTTCATACCCTTTGCTAAGAAAAGCATCTGTGGCAGTTTAGATGTTTGTGCGTTTGCCAAAGATCTTTCACTCTGAATAAAGTAAATGTCATGTCTGTTGTTTATCTCGAATTCTGCGGAGTATTTTTAAAAGGAAATATTTGGGGGGTGGGGATCAGGAGAGAAGGAAGGAAGTTGGGGAGCTCCTCTTGGTTGGGTGTGGAGTTTTGCCACAATCCTCTACTGTCCGGATTGGGATTTGGGTAAATAGGCTTTAAAATCTCCTTTGGGCTCTGGAACCAAACATATCCTTTCAAAATTGGAAGTGACACATTCTGATCCACTGGAATGTGGAGCCTCCCTGAATCTATACCTAGTCTGTCAACACTTAAAATCCAGTTCAGTCAAACTGATCATTTGGCATCTTAGAGGCACAGCTGGCTTGCACTAGAATGTTGAACACTTAAAGATAGATTGCATTGTATCCAAAGCCAACTGGTACAATGACATCTCTCCCTAGTTGTGTATGAGAGATTGCTGAGACTTCCAACATTGGAACTGGAACTTCATTACTCTCAGTTCAAGCTGGACCCCACTGACAAAACAATTTAAAATAAAATACCTCACTTGCGATAAATAGATACCTTTGGTAAGTTCAGTTTTCACCTTGAGTATGGTATGGTGGTAATTTAACTATGTAAATTGCTTTGAATATATTAAAAAAAGTAAAGATCGTCTCCCTACCTTTTTACAAAACCCATATTTACCCTGACTTGTGGGCGTTCAAAGTCATAATAGGCCCCTCATGTAAAATAGATTCTGAGACTTTTCTTAGGATCATCTATTCAAATATTTGTCCTAGACAATCCCGTCAGTCTCATTTATTTATTGAAGTACTCTTTGTGACTTTGAATATCATCTTCCCGCAGATGATCTGGAAGCTATTCCTGTCAAACAGTTTGTTAAACACATCGGTGAGCTCTATTCTCATAACCAGCACGGGTTCTCCGAGGATTTTGAGGTATGTTTCAAAACTGGCAATTCATTTCCAGAATCCTCACTCTTATTTATAATAACAGAGATTTGTATCATCTTGAATCCAGTTTATGCCAAGTATAAGAAAGCGACAACTGAAAAGTGGAGATTGGTGGGCTGTTGGTTTTTGTTTTTTATCCTTTTCTTTAGGCTTATCATTTGAACAAGCATTAGGTGAAAAGGAGTTGGCTGCACTGAGCTGCACTTGTGCTGAACACACATGCCTCAAGGATGAGCTAGTGGTGGAGAGGCAGGTTCACTCCTCTTTTTCATTCTAACTTGGAATAACAGTTGTGATGCAGGCAGCAGCCCTTATGCTTCCCCCACATCATTTCTGGGCTGCATATGGCGGAGTGAAGACAAGAGATAGAAAGTCTGAAGACTTGGATATTGGCTCTACCAGTAGTAATCCTTGGACCAACGGCCTCAGCTTTCTTATCCCCAGCTTCCTCATTGTGAAAAGGGGTGCCGTTACCTCCGATATCCCAGAGCTGTTGGCAAGAGTAAATGAGGAACCTTTTTAAAAGTGCTAGGTTAACTGCTTGGTGCCATGCAAAGGTTGATTGTTGTGTTCACGATTATCGATCCTTGGAGAGAAGACGTGGGTGAAACGCAGCCCTGTGATTTGAAGAACTGGTGTGTAGGAAACAAGGTAGGGAGCAGCAGGCACCCCTCTGCCAGCGCTGGGGTCTGTGCCAGTTCAGCAGTGACAGGGCGTCAATGAGGAGCTATTAAACAGACTGCCCTTTTCTTCAGTGAGACTCTTAACTCAGGCACATCTCTGGCAGCAAGAGAAGTGGTGAGGAGGCCAAGTTTTCATGGCAGCTCGGCTGTCTTCTAGCTCGGTGGGTAAGTCAGCTCCTTTCTCTGTCTCCTTCCCACTTTTAAATGGAAACTTTGATGCCACCCTCTCATCTCACAAAATTGATTATGGGAATACAATAAGGTGGTAGAAAGTAAGCACTTTGGAATCATCAAAGAGCCACACAGACAGGAGGTGCAATTATCTTGCATGCACAATGAGAGAGAGAAATAGGACCAAAAGCTGTCGTCTCTGTGCAAACGAGGAGTCCCTAGCGGCTATCATAAAGGCAATTAATTATATTAACACCTCATTTAAAATTCAGTCTCTCTCTTCTTTTTTGTGTTTGTGGTGGTAGTTTTGTTTCCAGCACAATGAAAGCAAATGGGATCTAGAGAAAGACCCTTCAGATTCAGTCGGCAAAGTCATGTGTTTTATGGATTAAATGAAAACATTCTGATTGTTTAATGCCGTTATTAGGTGCCTACCAAAAAAGATGCCTTTTCGACTACAAAGAACATGGTGTAAGTCTAACATTTTGTATTCATGAGGACAGCAAATGTGTGTGGTGTTAAAGTGATTTAGTTCAATTGACTGTTAGCTGGATGACTGAGCAAGAATATTGAGGCATTTAACAATGTTGATGGTATTCAGGACAAACATTTATCCTCTGGAGAGCAGAATTTGATCAGGATGATCAAATGCAACTCCGGTTTCTCAATTATTTATGATTTGAGACCCCAGTGCTATTCATCACAGCTGGTTTTGACACCATTTAATTATTCAAAATAATCAGCTACACCTCTATAAACTTGAGCTGACTTAAAATGGGCTTTGCCGCAGCAAAATCACGCCTGTTAACAAATCCTGGGCATCTGTACCCTATTTCTATTCTAAAATCCGAACCAAACCAGAATACTGTGGCTGAACGAACGCCTTCATCGCCCAGATTGAACTTTATGACCTGAGGAATATTAGGGACTGGAGCATAGAGAAGTGGGGATGGGGAGGAAGGGAACTGTATGCCCCTCAAGTGAGGTCACACCCTCTCCTGGTTTGAAAGTTCTAAAATCAGAACTATTCAGAATAAGAAGAATAACCTTTCTCTTCAAAAGGACAGTAAGGCAATAAGATAATGGAGGAAATTGACAGGAAAGTTCTAGAATACACACACACACATGCACATGACTTTATATTGTTGTCATGTACCATCGAGTTGGTGGAACCAACCCACAGCTGACCCTCCATTGGGTTTGCAAAGGCAGTTAATTGCATGGAAGGAGATTGGCCATCTTTCTCGTGCAGAGCAGCTGGTAGATTCAAACCATGTACCTTTGGGTTTCCAGAATAATTCCTTACCATTGGACCACCAGAGCTGGGAAATGCAAATTATGAAGCATCAGTATGCTTTCTCCTTAATCTCCAAACACTCAAACGCATTGACATCCAATCAGAACTAATTCCTAGCTGACCTTCTACCAGGTTTTCAGAGGCTACAAATAGCATTGGAGGAGATAGCCTGCCTCTCTCCCTGGGAGCTGCTGATAGATTTGAACTCCACACCTTTGAGTTAGCAAGACAGCTCCCTACCCACTAGGCTTCCATTCCATCTGCTAAAAGTTGCTAACAGCCTACTTAAAAAAAAAAGGCAGAAGAAATGTTGATTTCTAAAAAGAGAGTAATAAAATACATGCAGAAGATGAGGAGAGATGGTGTGTACTTTTCTTTTTTTCAAAGACTTCATTCTGGCCCAAGAGTTGTGACATCAGTGCCAGAGTTCAAGAAGCATTGTTTTGGTGGGCAGCACTGAAGGAGCACCGTACCTGCACTAGGCCCAGGGTGGCATGAACAAAACCCACCACTAATCCAAAGGTAGACAGTTGAAACCCATCTAGAGGTGCCTCTGAAGAAAGGCCTGACAATCTCCTTACCTCTTGAAGTAAGGGAATCCTCTTGGGAAAATACTCACATGTTTGTTCTGTGGTCTTATATTCTAGGTTCTTTCCAGACTGGTGAGAGTCTTGAGTTCTAAAAGTCATAAAAGACATCTACACAGTAGCCTACTATGATTCAAATAGCAAGGCTCAAGGTTTGAGAGATAACATCATTCCACAGTTGGTATTTGAGCATTACTGAAAGGAGATGACACCAACAATTGGGAAGTTGCTAAGGACCGTCCATTCTCAGGGTGCAAAAGAAGGAAGAAAGGTGACTCAGGCTCTGCAGACCAGTGGGCAGAGACCGGAAAACAGCCCAGTGCTGCAAGCTAGACGTGCAACAGACAAACAGACCAATGTGTGCTGACTTCAGGAGACTTCAGCCAAGTCCCGCTCACCATATCTTATTTAAAACCCTTAGATGGAAGTAGGAAAACATTTGGTGAAGAGCTGTCATCTTTTCAGAACTTTGCTGCTTGGGGGAGATTGAGTCCAGTGATTCACTGATCATTTTGGGTCTTTGTCTAGAGGTGATGCTTAAAGCAGGCTTTTTGTCCTTGGCAAATAAATTTTGGAAACTATTAAGAGCTGGAGACCTCACAGCTCCAACACACTTTACAGTCACAGGAAATAGCATCAGTGTCTGTCTCAGGTATAATGTGTTCCCTGCCTCCTCCCTTAGCGTCTAAGCAGACAGACTTCAAATTCCTTCGAATCCAGAGGGGAGTTTTCCTAAAGAGTGTTTCAAGATTATGAGCCTCTGTCCTTGCCTCCACTGTCCGCATCCACAAGACTTGCACAGTGCTAGCAAACCCTTTCTGAGGGAGAAAGCTCCAAGGCTCTGTGAGGTGTCAGAATTAATAGGCAGAGGCTGAGCGCAGAGATGAGGCCAGAGGGTCATAGGCCCTTGACGAGATCCTTGGGGTAATGGCCTCTGCTACAATTAACTTCAGCCAAGCTAAATGTGCGCCGATTGTTCATCTGAAATCAAAAGAACAAAGCTTTGTCCACCTGAGCCCGTGCCGCTGAGGGACTGGTGGCCACAGGCGCTGGATGTAAAATGGAAAGCTCCAGTGATGAATAATAGGGGAGTCCCTGCACAGAGGTTCTGTGCTGCATGAAGACAGCTGCCCGCAAGATGACAGAAGACAGCCTGCCGAGCATCCTGGGCCTCTGTCACAAAATTCCCCTTCGAGTCTTAAATATCACGAAAAAAAGTATTTGAAACCCTTATTACGGTTAAAATGTTTAGGTCCAAATGGAACTTAATGCAAAAGGAAAGGTGAGGGAAAAGCCAAGTTCCACAAGTGAAAAATAGTACCATTTCCCAAGCCAGTTTGAGGAGGTACTGTGTGGTCTCTAGCTTGGGTTTGTTTTCTCAGGAGGAAACGTAATCCTTTTAGGTGAGGATGTGTGGGTTCAGATAGGAGAAAGGAGAGGTGTTCTTGGCACCGGCCATATCACAGGGCAAAGAGCAGGAAGTCATGTGGTCTTCCCAAAAAGCACAGGAGAAGAGGTTGGGAGAGATGGAGTGGGGTCTTGAAAGCCTGGGTGAGGCATTTGGAATCTGCCCGGAAGTTTCTGAAAACAGCAAAATCAAAGCAGCAGTGGAAGCAAATCTGGCATCAGGTTGTAACCTGAGCAGAGGAGGAGGCAGGCAGCGCCAGCGTGACCAGTTCTTGTCAAGTCAGTGTGCAGGCTCTGGGTGCAGCCACAGACTGGGCCCACCCATTTCTATAGAACATAATGCCAGAGAGACCCAGTGTTGGCTGCCCACATATGAGACAAGGACTCAGTCTCCTAACTGGACCTCAGGTCCAAAATACATTCTTCTTGGCTTGCTCTGCGATGCTGCGTCATCGGAAAGACTTTTAGATGTCTTTGGTCCAGTTACTTTTTAAACTGAACCCCAGAATGATAAGAAAAGTGAGGTCTCCTTGGACTCCTACGTCAAACTCTAACATAACTGACTCCATCTCCTGGTTGGTTAGCCCATTTCTAGCTTCTTTCCAAGAATCCAGCTTCTAGTAGCTGTGTTTACCTTTTGAATTTTTTATTTTATTTCTAGTTTCCAGCCAGCCCTCTCCTGAAGTTTTATGCCTGATAGGTCTCAGTATATCCATTTTCCAGGAGTCCAGCTTTGTGAGGAAAAGAGTCAAACACAAACATGCTTCAATCCTGTTTACCAGAGTGCTGAATATGTAACTTTACCATGCCCACTTCATAAGCAATGGCACTTTAAAAGGGTTTTAACACCTATTAAAATCACATTAACTTTGAGATGCCAGTTCTGATGGAGAAAAGCCACCCCAGAAGCAGAGATTACCAGCATCTAAATGAGCCAAACTGCACTGTAAGGAATTACAGATGCCATTATTATCCTGAAGACAAAACCAGAGGGCTGTAGGCTAACCCCTTGGGCTCTAAGGAAATAAGATTTAACATTATTTATGATTGTTCTTTGTTTTATGTCACTCACGTAATTGGAAAAGTGAAATAGAGGCGTGGGCTTCAGATGACAAAGGGTTTGATTGACTGTATTGAATGACAGCTTTAAGTGGGGCAGACAGCTGTTCACAAGGAGTCTTGAACAATTGCATTATATTATAATAGAGGGCCAATCCCAGTGCACAGCCAGAGTGGTCAGATGGACACAAGAGAGCAGAAAATACCAGCAAACAAAATCGAACCAGAAAACTAAAGCACTGAAGATAAAAGTCTCTTCACGTTGACGATCTGAGCAACATTTCCCTAAAAAGGTATATGTCAAATGTGTGACCTTCAAAACCCAGGAAGAGAGGAATGCCAGCTCATTTCAAGGATTTGTGGACAGGTTGAATTAATGTCTTGTACAATACAGATCTTCTTTTAAAGGTTTTCTTCCCTTACAATGATTTGGAAGTGCCCCCCACAGGTTCTTCAGGCATTTTCCCCAAATACTTCGAGTACTGTCAGCTCTGCTAATATACATGCTTAGCTATTATGATTGTTATTTTGTGTCCACACTTTTATTATCTCATGTTAAAAGAGCCAAAGATAATAGTCTTCAAGGCCTCTGAGCCAGATCAGTTTTGTTTGCCAAATCAAAGGTTATGATCCATTTTAGAATAGAAGGGATGTTACCATGGTTTATCACATCCTGTAAGAAGCAGCAAAGAGTAAGAAACACTTCATAAAATATACTTTCCCTAGAAAGATATGCTGAATTAATGCCTATGAAGCTTTTTATCTTTATTTAAAAGAAAAGTTTTAAGGAAAACCAGACATGTCTATAATGATTAAAAAATGCAATTCCAAGAATTGGCAAGTCCATGATGGTTTCCTTGAACAGATAACTCTTTAACCCGTTGGTGACATTCTTTGATTATAGTGAGTTCTTCCTTGGAGAGATGGGGGACTCCTCACTGGGAAGTTCATTGTGAATTTATAAAAGACGACCAATTTCTTGTTTTCATCATACTTAATGTAAATGCAGTGGGAAACATCCATAATTGCTATGCATCTCCTTTGTGGAAAGTCTGCCTGCTCCTCAACTCTGTTACATCTGTTCCCTGTAAAACATTTCTCCTGATAATGTCTTGTCACTTTGCTCCTGCTCTTTGTAGCAGCTGTGCATGGCTAATGACTTCCCTTATTAGTTAGATCCTGAGCTTTCTTGGATGTGAAGCCGACAGCATAGAAAATTTTGGCTTTTCAGCAACCTTGTGGTGGGCTAATGGAGGGTATTTTTGTCCATGGCAAAGGTAGCTGATGATGAGAGTTGCTTCTTCCACCGCTTATTTTTCTAAAGGAGATTTTAAATTAGTGTTCACTGGTAAATTGTCTGGGCTATATGTAGCTCAGTCAGATGAGACAATTAGTTGGGCTATAAATTTGTGGCATTTGAGGACTGAGCCTTTATAATCCATTTTCAGACTAATTGTTATAAAATGGGCCAGAAGACCTACAAACTTATTACAAAAACTTGGTGGGGATGATATTTCTCCATCTATGCTCTGCACAGTGTTCCCTGTTCCTGGAAAATTCCTCTTCATCTGTTAAGGCCCGTAAGATTTACCATCCCCTGTCTAAAGCCCTCTTTTCCTGTATGAAAGATACTTGTATTATTGTTGTTATTGCTTTCCTGTCCATGCCTAGGACAAAATCTAGATGATTCCTGAATTAATGAATGGGTGAAATCACACTAACTTCTTCATGTCCTTCCTATGCTTTTTTTTAAAAAAATATTTTTTATTGGTTTTCTTACATTATGTTAAATCCATATATATTGTTTTATGCAATCTTTCATTTTCATTGTGTTTTGTACAGCCATTCATAGACATTCTATTTTACATTTCTTTTAATTTGTTTGCTTACAGAGTTTATAAACTTTCTGTTTCCTACAATCATTCTCACATTGTGTTTTATAAATTCAGTCACCATTGGACGTTACCCATCATTACCCTGTCTTTTTACTCGGTCCTTATCATTTGCTATCCCCACTCCCTTCACCAACCAAACTGTGCAGCCCTGTGGTATCACCCCTACTTATCCTCACCCTTCATTCCCCCACCTTGAGTTCCTGTACATGTTTTACTGGTTATCCTTCTATTATACTTGTGTGAATATGCCAATCATTCTTTCTGAAGTTGAGTTTAGAAAGATATTGATGGCTTTGGCTGGGGAATATTCCAGAAGTGCTCTGTACTTTTGGACATATGTCATGCCTTTTTAAGACATTCTTGTTAGATGTGTAGATTATGTCTAAAAGTCTGTTTCCTTCTTCAGGAAGTGCAACGCTGTACGGCTGATATGAACATCACAGCGGAACATTCCAATCATCCTGATAACAAGCACAAAAACAGATACATCAACATTTTAGCATGTGAGTAATAATAGACCTTCAGCTGTCATCAGGTTCAGGGAAACGGAACCTCCGTGGTGGGTATAATTTGAGAGTCAGTCATTCCAAATCAGGGGACCAAGAATTAAATTGAAGCTAACCTCTTATTAACTGATCAACAGTACATGAGTAGTAGCAACATTTTCCATGCGTGACCCCCACCCCCTCAGTTTTTTGATAGAGCTCAGCTACCCTAAGCAAGTGTTAGAACAAAAGTTCTGAAAATCCCTGTCTTCACATGAAATTAATACAAAGGTTCAGCTATTCAGAGTAAAAATGCACAGGGTTATGTAAGATTTATTTTTTTTTTTTTAGGGTTAAATGTCATTTGCCTATCTTGATGTTTTTGCCAGTAAACCTCTAATCATTTTGGTATTAGTAGTAACACTGTGGATTTGATCAAGCAAGCTGAATTTCAAAACCATCTTTCTATAACTAGATCTGTAGCTAAAGTGATGAACCTCCCTTCTTGTCCACATGCTCAGTCATCTCCATGATCGAGAGTTTTCAAACTTATGGACATGAATAGAGCTTACAGAAATCTCCTTGGACTACAGGCAATTTCTGTGGCTAGAATTCCACTTTTCCCACATGTGGTTCTCAAGTCTCTGATAATCCTAAAAGCACGCCCATGATTTGATACTAAGGGGCAGAGGAGCTTATGGTTAACATACACTACGGTAAATAATACTTGACACAGAATTTTATAAAATGATGCTTTTCATTTATACCACTTAAGATTTGAAGATTACTATAGATACTGGGATGCAGCAGAAGAGTATTGAATATACCGTGGACTGCTAGTAGAACAAACAGATTCGTCCTAGAGAGTGTGAGACGAAGCTGCTCCTTGGAGACAGATTCTGAGGCTTCGTCTGACACACTTTGGACATGTTGTAAGGAGGGACCAGTCCTTGGATAGGGACATCATGCTTGGGAGGGTGAAGGGACAGCACAGGAGAGAAAAACCCTCGATGAGATGGATTGACTCAGTGACAGGGGTAATGGGGGTGGGTGTGTCAGAGACAATGAGACTGGCCCAGGATAGAGCAGGGTAAAGGGCCATTGTACATAGGGTCACTATGAGTTGCAGGCAACTCGATGGCACATGACAACAACTGTAGACAGATTTTTAAAGTTAATTGCATGAAAAATGCTGAGTTTATGTATACAGCTAATTGGTTTTTAGTAGAGCCACAGGTGTATAACCATCATCACTAATTTGAAGATATTTTATCACCTCAGAACTCACTCATGCCTCTTCGCTGCTGCTCCCCTTTTTTCCCCTCTCCCCAGCCTGAAACCAGGTCTCTGCTTTCTGTCTCGGGATTTTCCTCATCTGGACATTTTGGATAATCATTGTACTATGTGATTGATCTTTTGTGACTGACTTCTTTCACTTTATTTTGGGGGTTTATCTACGTTATGTCATGTATCAATTCCCTTTTCTCTTTATTGCCAAGTAATATTCCATTTAACAGATAGATCACATTTTACTTATCCATTGATCACTTGAGCCTTTGAGTTGTTTTTAGGATTTGACTGTTATGAATATGTTGCTGTGCACATTCATGTACAAGTGTCTGTGTGAGCATACGTTTTCAGAGCTCCAGAGTACACTTAGGACTCCTGTTATTGCTGGGTCACATCATTATTCTGTTTATCATTTTGAGCAATTTCCAGACTGCATTCCAAAGCAGCTGCACCGTTTTACACTTCCACCAGCAGTGCCTGGAAGTTTCTGTTGTCCCACGTGCTCATCAACATTTGTCTTCTCTTTTTCATTTCTGCCATCCTAGTGGGGAGGTGGAGCTCTGGTGGAGTAGTCCGCCGGACGTTGCACTGCTAGGCAAAGGAGGTGCCTCTCTGGAGGTTGTAAGCCACCATGGCTCCAGGGGAGAAGGATGAGCATTCTCCTCCCATATGACTTATAGCCCTGGAACCCACTGGTGGGTCACAAGGGGTCAATTCTGACTTCACAGCAATGAGAGTGCTTGAAGGGAAGTGTCCACCACTCTCGTTTTGTTTGGCATTGCCCTAACGTCTAATGAGGCTGAATATATTTTCTTGATTTTCTTTTCCATTTGAAGATCTTCTTTGAAGCAATACCAAGTCCTTGGTCCACTTTTTTAAGTTTGGTTGTTACTCTTCTTATTGTTGAGGTGAAAAGTTCTTAAAACATTCTAGATGCAGACTTAACAGTCTTAACATATCTACTAGTATTTCCTCCCATTTTGTGGTCTGTTTTCACTTTGTTGTTGTTATGTGCCATCAAGTCACTTGCGACCCTATGTACAACATCTCTAAACCCTGCTCTATCCCTTGCCAATCTCATTATCTCTGACACACCTATCCCCGTTCCCCCAGTGACAGAATCATTCCATCTCATCGAGGGTCTTCCTTTCCTGAGCTGTCCCTTCACCCTCCCAAGCATGACATCCCTATCCAAAGACTGGTCCTTCCCTCCAAGGAGCAGCCCAGCTTCACCCTCTCCGGGACAAACTTGTCTGTTCTCCTAGTATTCCATGGTATATTAAGTACTCTTCTCCAGCATGACAGCTCAAAGGCATCAACTCTCCTATAATTCACTTTCTTAGTGATCTTTAAAAGAGGAAGCTTTTTCATTTTGATGGCATCCTACTAATCGGGGTATTCATTAGCCATGAGTGCTTTTTGTGTCATGTCCAGGATATCATTGCCTGATCCCAAGAGCATAAAAAATACAATCTTCATAATTCTACGTTTTTAAGATTTCTGTAGTTTAGCCTCTTATATTTATGTTTCTGGCTGATTTTGAATATGATATGAAGGAAGGGTACAGTTTCATCTCTTGTATGTAGAGATCCCATTATCTCAACACCATTTATTGAAAAGATTATCTTTCCCCCTGGAATGCTTTGACACCCTTGTCAAAAGTCACCTGACCACAATGTAAGGTTTATTTCCGGACTCTCATTTCTATTCCATTGGTCTGTATGTCTGTCCTTATTCCTTGTAGCATTGTCTTGATTGGGTAGGGTTTTGTTCTGTGAGTCAAAGCTGATTGAACAGCACCTAACAACAAAGTTTTTAAATTGGAAGAGGTTAGTTCTCCATATTTTTCCACTTTTTCGCAATGATTTTGGTTATTTGATGCCTCACATTGTTGTATGAATTTTAAGATTAGCTTATCAATTACTAAAAAAAAGGGGAGCTGAGATTTTGATAGGCGATACATTAATTTAAGGAATACTGTCATCCTATAAATGGCTGGTTGCCTAAACAGTATGGCTGTCTTTACAACTTCTCTCCATGTTTCAGAGTTTTTACTATACTAGTCTTGTTCTCATTCTATTTTTAAGTAATTTTTTTCCTATTTTAGTGGAATTGTTTTCTTGAGTGTATTTTTAGATGGTTCATTGTTAGTGCACAGGAATACCACTGATTTTTACCCATCAGTTTTGTATCCTATAGCCTTGCTTAACTCTTTGTTTCTAATAGTTATTTTTGCTAATTTCTTATGATTTTTCTCCAATATCATATCATCTGTAAATAGAGATACTTTTAATTCTTCCTTTAGATATTTCAAAAGAATCACAATTCAGTACTTAATAGGTGTGCTAATCATTTATTCTTGGGAGGAGGAGTGGCATCCACTTCCTTAATAGCTTGCCTCCGGAAACCCTGTGAACCTGGAGAGAGGATGAAAGGCACCCAAGCGTCGAGGACTCTCCTTCATAGGGTCGCTATGAGTCGCCTGCGACTGGAAGGCACTTAACTACAACAGCAATCATTTATTAAAGGGGAAAAAGAGGAGATAAGAAAAGGTAACAAAGATTTAAACTCTGTCTCCTCAGTCCCTGGTGGTATTTGCTTACATCCCCATCAAAGCTCATCTTTGGTAAACCTAGGTGATTATAAGGGTTTGGCCATCTTTATGTCTCTTTTCTAACCTCGTACATCCACAGGTACACACAGCATATATTTCTCTCTACTGTAGCAACTTTTGTTTTTAGTAACTGTACTCTTCTTGCTCAAAAATAATATGGCAAAGGAGGAGGATAGTTTCTAGATGATATGCTTAGAGGCTATGATGCTTTATGAAAACTCTGGTTAATGGTTAGATATGTTTATTTAGTTCATTCTTCCTACTTTAAAAACATTCAAATTAGGTATAGTTTTAATTTCCGTACATCTACTGCCACCATGGCATACTTCGCTATGAATGCCTTTATTTTTTTAAAGAACAGCATGGAAACTTGATGTAGGAAAAGCCTTTCTCTCAGCTGTCACCACTTCAGGCGGATGTGGACACCAGCCTGCCACCTTCTGTGCTGGTCTGCTTGACTCGTCCATTGTCTTTCACATCATACACGAGCTTTGTAACCAGAAGAGCATGTGTTCTTATTTCTCAGTCTGAGGCTTTACACTCAGATACTTGAGGAAGAATTTTCCTTTGGCAGCCCCGGTTCATATCAATTCTAATCAGAGAGGTTGCCACCTTTCAAAAAGTGTTTGATGTAGAATGCAGTTAATGTCAGGGCCAATTTACTCATTAATTTTAAAACAATATTTTTCATGATGGTGAAGATGAACAGAAATGAGATTTTTGCTTTTACCCAATCTACTATGTGTGAGGAGAAGTAAAATTATGACCTCCTTTTCCTTTCATTCATGGCCCTAAAGGAACAGCTCACACTGATGACTTGTTCTAAGACTAAGTGGATTATAAAATCTGGCCTTTGAGTTCACATTCACACAGTAAGGTCACTCTTCAGAGCATCTTTTCCCTTCAGTTGCCTAGGTTCAGTTGGAATGGCAAGGTGTTAAAGTTAGTAATCAATTTCTAGACAACACTGTTCTGGACTTGGTATAACAATTACCTGTTTTCTCTGCATCAATCAAGAGGGAACAGAGGGATGAGGAATCAAAGGCTTTTGTACTTGGCATGGAAATACAAGAAAAATAAATTTTTGAGGACTGCAGCTTAGAGTAGTTTTGCTTGAATCACAGAGGACTTGATCTGAGACATCCACAGGTGTGGGCATGAGTTTAGAAGTGGATCAAATGCCAAAAAAAATGTCAAGACACTCTGTGAGATGCTGCGGTGTATGTTTGCCTTGTATTGTGTTTCAGAATGCTGCTGGTTTTTTAATTATACATTTTCTCCCCCCCCCCCTTTCTTCTATAGATGATCACAGTAGGGTGAAGTTAAGACCTTTACCAGGAAAAGACTCTAAGCACAGCGACTACATTAATGCAAACTATGTTGATGTAAGTCAGAAAAGTTTTTCTAAAACTTGTTTTGAACATAGAAGCATGCAGCAGAGGCTGACGAGTGTGTTTTAATACTTGCTGTACACAGTTTTCACAAAAAACCACTATTCCTTATGGAAGGCACTTGAATTATTAACTGGTCTTCTCTGACAGTGCTTTGATCTTACTTTATGTTGTGTCATCTTTGAAGGGTTACAACAAAGCAAAAGCCTACATTGCCACCCAGGGACCTTTAAAGTCTACCTTTGAAGATTTCTGGAGGATGATTTGGGAACAAAACACCGGAATCATCATCATGATTACAAACCTTGTGGAAAAAGGAAGAGTAAGAGCCTTTTGTTCATATATCTCAACCAAGCATCCTCATTCAAAAAGTAGGGTAGAGGGATGAAGAGGTGCAGGAAGGAGGGGGACTAATCATGGAGTTGTACAATTTGATGGGGGGTGTGGTGAGGGAAATTGGAAGAATCTGTTCTTGAAATCAGTGTGTTCTAAGTTTGTAAACTAGTATTCAAAAAAAATAGCAGGAGCTTGGTAGTACCCATAAGAGGTCTAGGTCTGATGGGAAACACCATGTAACTCTTGGGGAAAAAAACAGATTAAATATGATGGTGGAGATGAACAGAGTGCTAGAGGAGCACTATAGAATTCATGGATACATTACAACTGTTTTGTAAAGGCCATCATGAGGACGGAGGATGTTGAGTGCTTAACACCTTGACCATTTAAAGAAAAAAAAATCTTAGATGGCTACTATTGGAGACTTTATTGAATTTTGAGCTTACATTAAAAAAGTACTAAGTGGTTGTTATTGTTTGGTGCCATTGAGTTGACTGTGACTCATAGTGGCCCTGGGATTGATATGAAGACCTCAGGGTCAGTGCTCAAAAGTACTATTGACTGAATGGGAGTCCCTTGTTTTCTCTTTGATGACCCAACTGTATAATGTGTGGTGTGGATTTTCCCAGTAATAAAGGACCCTTCCAAAAATCTATTCCAGCCTCCCAAATGGTTAAGCTCATAACATGTCCTAGCCACATTTCTTATGAGTCAGACACAATAGGGCTTATTTTTCCATAGGCCCTTTGGAGCACATAGTGTGTTCCAGGATAATCATGTGTACTAGGGCTTTCTCCCTAATTCTCCTGCTCAAACTTATTCTAAGCCACTCATTCCTTTCTCACTTACCTGAATAATAATATGGCCTTTATTTTAAAATTGTCAAATTGTATTTGTAACTTAACAGCAATTTTTTTTCCCCCAGAGAAAATGTGATCAGTATTGGCCAACAGAAAATAGTGAAGAGTATGGAAACATTATTGTCACACTGAAGAGCACAAAAGTACACGCCTGCTATACTGTTCGTCGTTTTTCAGTCAGGAATACAAAAGTGAAAAAGGTACTAAAGAAACAGGGTGAGGTGCAGGGGTGTCTTTTTTTTCTTCACACTTGTATGAAAATTATAATTATAGCCAAGGCCAAGTCTCATAAATAAGGTAGTTTAAAATTGTACTTGATAACTATTCTTTTTCCTAACTCTTTTGATTGACATCAGTATAGATTATGAACAGTATTGGTAAAGCACCTTGGAGAATTTAACTGGATTGATTAATTCTTTAATCTTTTAATGAACCAGGCTACATGTCAAAGAAGTAGTTCTGTTTGGGCGGGTGGGGGGAAATTATAGCATCTGTTTAGTGGCTTAGCTTAATACCAGTTTTCTGACATCCTTAAAGCAAGATTTCCCTAAGTGTGTTTCAAGAGACATTAGTCCTGTGAGATGATCTGTGGAAGTCAGATTCGGCTGTGTAGGGCATGTGAAAAATGATATTCGATGTGTCCCTCACAAGTGGTGAATGGATAGATAAGAATCCTGTGTAACTTTGTTTAGTTCCAGTGTTGCCTAATATGACTTAACAGTAAAGACTCTTTTCTATAGCACTGCTAAACTCCTGGGAGAGACACTTTGTAGAAATGCTTCCAAGTCATTCAGAATCCATTGTCAGCAAGAATCATTGCAATGGTCTTGGGCACGCTAGAAAGATGTTCAGTAAGGAACTCTCATTATGCTACAGAAACTGAGATATGATAGTTCTTTGTAATAGGAAGTTCCTCTTTAAAAGAGGAGGGAGGGAAAAGAGTCTTTGAGAGTACTGTGGAAACTGTAGCTCTCTTTTTCCAGAGCAATTACTTTTCATCTATATGTACACACACACAGAGGATCTAACCACAATCCAAGGTTAAACACCTTTCTGTTTAGAATAAACTCTATAATGGCAGGATTAAATGAAGATCTCAAATCCTGTATCTATCTATATTCATTGTAATACAGCTGTTAACTGGCTCAAGCTAACCAAAAAGTAGTCTAAAATTTGCAAAACCTATTTTTTTGTATGAACCCAGAAGGTATTTAAATAGCATCCCATCTACTTGTATTTTGGAAATTGCTTAAATCAGAGAAGAAAGTCTAATATTGACCACAGGAAAAATTCATAGCTAAAAAATAAGAAATAGGTAAAGGAGAGATGCCAGAAGAATTATTTAAAATCAAGTCTGTCAAGAATCAGTGTTGATCACCACTGTCAAAAGAAATATTTTATAATTTTTAGAGGTATTGATGATAAGAGAATAGCTATCACAGCAAGTGAACTCTTTGAGGACATTTTTCATCCAAAGTAGTTAAAGTACAAAAAAGTTCAGACATTTACAGAAAAGCTACCCTGAAGAATTCATTTCTGAAAGTGGCAGATGGATGAGGCATGGTTGCCCTGGGCTCTGGAGGTGGAAAATCATTGGTTCCTTTGCATATTCCCTGCATTGGATGGAGAATGTGTGGTAGCTCCCAGCACTCAAGCTTGGGGGCCAAAAATCAGTAAATGCAGGCCTTAGAGACAGAATCCTGTTCCAAGGGCAAAATGAATAGTCCCATCCTACCAAAAGCTAATAAAATTTTATGTGAACAGTTCTCTCTCCTAAGAGATGGTGATGCTTCACATCCAGCTAGTTAATAGCTTGAACATTTGCTGCAAAGAGGCAGTAACCAACCTAGGAACAGTTATTAGAGATATGGGGTCTTATTTCCAGGTGCCCCTAGTTGATTTTATGCAGAGTACCCACACTCTGCTTGACGTCTCACCTTTCTCATCAGGGTCAGAAGGGGAATCCCAAGGGCCGTCAGAATGAGAGAGTTGTGATCCAGTACCACTACACACAGTGGCCTGACATGGGGGTCCCTGAGTATGCCCTCCCGGTCCTGACCTTCGTGAGGAGATCCTCTGCAGCCCGGACCCCAGACATGGGCCCCGTGTTGGTGCACTGCAGGTGAGGCGACCCTTCCTTCTGATGTGAAAGGGGGAGTGGCAGGGCATGACCTTAGTTCTGTTAACGTGGGGAGATTATGGCTCTCGCTCCAGGATAGCAGTGGAGATTTCAACTGAGATGAGCAAGACCTTTTAATAACTGTACTTCTTAGAAAGCCAGGTTTGGTTAAGAAAACATCAGTTGCTTTTGCTTTAAATATGCAGGGTTTTTCTTTAAAAATTAAAAACTCTACATTTACGAGATGAACCTCTAGTTTTTATAAACTCATTGTGTTTAATCTAATCAACTCATGGCTGGCGAGTCAGGACTGACACTGGCCCTGCCTTGGGTTTTCAGAGGCAGTCAGTCACACAGGAGGAACCTGTCCTTCCCTGAGCGCTGTGCCAACCGGTGCCCCACCATCCTCAACTTAGAAAAATCTGGTCTTATATGCAAGTTTCCTATGAGAGTCTAAATTGTTATGGTTCCTTTGTTGTTGTTATTAGGTACACCTCGAGTAATAATACTGATAATACTCATAGCATGAAAGGATTATTTTCAAATTTTTGAATCTGCATGTGCAGATAAAACACTTCTGAAAGCATGTGGAAGCTTTGTGTAAAACCTATTTTCTTTACTACTTTCAGCAACTTCAATTGGTTGTTTAAAAATGCTCTTACTATTGTTTCCTTTGAAATTGCACTCTTAGCTTTTTCTTTTAACTTTGGTTTTCAAATGGAGCTTGCTTATTCTATGATTTGTGTTGCATTGCTGTACATAATTTCTTCATTTTTTGCCTATGTATAAAGTCCTCAAGGTAGAAAGTAACTGAGCCTGGTAGGCACTGGTAGCCTAGTGGGCAGGGAGTTCAACTGCCAACCCCAAGGTAGCTAGTTCTAATCCACCAGCTGTTCCTCAGGAAAAAGATGGACAGTTTCCTCCAGTGTAATTTACTTCCTCTGAAGACCCACTGGAGGGTCATCAGCTATAAGCTGGCACAATTTGAAGGCAATAAGTTGACTTGCCTTTAATTAATGTTAAAAAACAAAATGTGTAGGAATAGTTGAATGGAAAGTCAGTTTGCTTTGTAAAAGTTCATTTAAATCACAATTGAAAGCATTATTTCCTAAACATCTTACCAAAGAGAAAGGGAGTTCTAGTGGCTTGTGGTAAGGAGTTGCACTGCCAACCCAGACACAGGTGGTTCAAATCCAATAGAGAAAGATGGGCAATCTCCTGTTATATCATTTAGAGCCTCTAAAAATCTACTGGAGGGTCAGCTGTGAGCCGGTCCCAACTCAATAGCACATAACAACATTAAAGGGAAGTACTGTTTCAGAGAGGAACTTTTTAATACTGGGAATAGTCATGAGAACCTCAGTTGCAAGTAATAAAAGACTGGGGAAGTTACTCAGAAAAGGGGTTCATGGAAAGGAATGTGAGGATTAGAGATCGAGGTTCAAGGCCACACACACAGTTTGCCTCAGCAGGTCTGGTTCAGGGTCCTGCTGCTATAGAAGTCAGCCAAGTCCCTTACACCACGGGGTGGCCTGCATTCACTTGAGCTGTGATGGAGAAAGCCAATGCAGAACACTTTTCTTCCAGCTTTTAGAGTGTAAATGCAGTCTTTGTTCCCCACTATGACTCTGAGGTGGGAAATGGCCAAATAAACCTGGATTCTATCCACAACAGATAACCCCAATCAACTATACTGAGTGCTGTGTACTCACTGTGGGTTTTCACAGGCAGTGAATCACACAGGAGGAGGTTCCACATCTTTCTTCTGCAGAGCAGCTGTTTGATTTGAACAGGGTACCTTTGGGTTGGCAGCACAACTCCTTACCCACTAAGCCACAAGAGCTCTCTATCTTCATCAGAAATTTGAATTGAGCTCTAAACTCATTAACTGTTTGCATTGGTTTTTATTACTATTCCATGATTAATGACTTGATAGAGCAAAAGGTGCTGGAATTGACTGTCTTCATTGCTTACAGCGCTGGTGTGGGCAGGACGGGCACCTACATTGTGATAGACAGCATGCTGCAACAGATAAAAGACAAAAGCACAGTTAATGTCCTGGGATTCCTGAAACACATCAGGACACAGCGCAACTACCTCGTCCAGACGGAGGTAAGAGCTGCTGCTCTCGTTAGCTCCCACCACGTGCGTTAGTCAAGAGTTGAATGATCCTGAGGAGAGAGGTTGGCTCCTTTCAGGCTTGAGGGGGTATATGGGTTTGTATCAGGGAATAACCTCTTCAGTACCGGTATTTCTTTTCTGTGTGGCTCTTGACATCACTATAGAAACACTTAGAAACATGCAGTTTGTTAGCACTGTATCAGATGCTTGGAGAAGGCAGACATGCTGTTTGGCCTGTGGGATATCATTGAATGCACAGTTTCCTGCATGGAACCTATTGTGGACATTGTATCGAGGTAAAGGGGCCCAGGCATGCCCATGCTATGGGTCAGCCCTATCAATGGCTGGAAGGAATTCACTGGTGTGATGGATTGAACTGCATCCTCTCAAAACAGAAATCCTAACCTCTGTGATTATTAATTCCATTTGAGAACATGTATTCTGTGACATTAATTAGGCAGGATTAGTGTAAGGTGTATTTTTGATTCAATCTCTACAAGACATAGAAGGATCTGACTAGACAAATAGAAATGGGGACATGCTGATGCCGGGCCACCTGGAAAGCTCATAAGACAATGGAAGCCGAAGAGATAGAGACCTTCCTTCCCTTAGAGCAAACAGAGAAAATCTTCTACACCTGGCACCTTGAGTTCAGATTGCTAGTCTCCTGACTGTATGAAAAGTAATTGTGTATGGTAAAGCCCTCCACTGTGGTACTTCTGGGGTAGCAGCCCAGGAGGTCCCCGCGAGTCCCTGAGTTAATCTAAGCTGACTTTGTGAATTGAGGAGGGATGCTCAGACACCTCTCTCTTGTCCCATCCAGGAGCAGTACATTTTCATCCACGATGCCTTGTTGGAAGCCATTCTTGGAAAGGAGACTGAAGTATCTTCAAACCAGCTGCACAGTTATGTTAACAGCATCCTCATACCTGGAGTAGGAGGAAAGACACGGCTGGAAAAGCAATTCAAGGTAGTGTTTTTAATCAGCTGCTACATGAAAAAGCAAGAAAGTGAAAAAAAATGTGTTTTCATTTGCAGAGAGAAGAGGGTTGTTAGGTCTTGTTTCCTACTACTTGCACTCCTGACAGTTTGGCATCATTGAGTTCCAAAGCCCGGGTCGTTACGGGAACCTCCATTGACCATATGCCACTTAGGCACAATTTCAAACCACAGGCAGAGCTGACAGGGTCGGGAGAGGGGCCCCGTGTGGAGTTCTTATTCTCCAAAGAACTATCCACCTACCTCGGACTGTAGAGTTTCAGTCCAGAGCCACAGCTTTGCTTTGACATAACTGCATTTACAAGCAGGGATCCAGGCTGGCCAGGAAGCATGCATTCAGGCTAATGGGCCAACACTCCAGCATCCAGGCTTCTCCCTCCCTTCTTTTAACTTTATTCATCTCTTGGGACAATGGGGGGGATGAGAAAGAGCAAGGATTTGAAAGTTAGGAAGGAGGCACTGGTTCACTCAGAATGAATGTGCCGTTACCTAGGTTAAAGGTAATTTATGTCATAAACTCAAAATGTTAAGATAATGTGGTATAATGGGTTAGAGAATATGTTATTTGTACTCATTATGTTGTTATGTGCCATCGAGTTGCCTGCAACTCATAGCGACCCTATGTACAACAGCCCTCAACTCCACCCTATCCCGTGCCAATCTCACCATCTCCGACACACTTGCCCCCATTATTACCCCAGTCACTGAATCATTCGATCTCATCAAGGATCTTCCTCTCCTGCGCTGTCCCTCCACCCTCCCAAGCATGACATCCCTCTCCAAGGACTGGTCCCTTCTTGCAACATGTCCAAACTATGTCAGATGAAGCTTCAGAACCCTTGCCTCCACAGAGCAGCCCAGCTTCACTCTCTCCAGGACAAACCTGTTTGTTTTCCTTGCAGTCCATGGTATATTCAATACTCTTCTCCAGCACCACAGCTCAAAGGTATCAACTCTCCTTCTATCATCCCTAGTCATTGTCCAGCGCTGATGCATAGCAAGTAATTGCAAAGGCCATGGCACCTTAGTCTCCAGACTGACATTATTGCTCTTCAGTACTTTGGAAGGGTCTCTGCCAATAGACTTTCCCAATGCTATTCATCTTTCAATTTCCTGGCTGCTGGTACCAAGAGTGTTGATTGTAGAGCCAAGCAAAATGAAGCTGTCAACAATTTCTTCACCATCTATCATGATGCTGCCAGTCGGCCCGGTGGTGAGAATCTGTTGTGCATAAATTGAAAAGATATGGAGATAGGACACATCCTTGACACACACCCTTCCCAATTTTGAACTATGCAGTGTTTCCTTGCTCTGTTCTGACAACTGCCTCCTGGTCCAAGTGTAGGTTTTGCATAAGATCAAGTGTTCTGGGATTCCCATTCTTCTCAGAGTCAGCCACAGCTACACATAAGCTAAATTGTTATTTCTTTCACATTAAATTTTGGCAATCCAAGGTGGTGATGTTGGGTACTTTCAAGTCCACTGTACCTCTTAGCGACCTGCGAAAAGCAGATCTGAACCTTGCCTTATCTTGTACCAGACAGTACAGTCTGTATTTTCTCCACAATGCTTTAGAGTCTATCATACTTAACTCTATCAATAATAAGTGTTTATATATAGTCTAAAACCTCTAGCAATTTAGAAGACTATTCTAATTTGGAAATAGGCAAAAACCCTCGCTGCCATCAACTCACTTGTGAGGCATGCCTGACCATCGATTGGTTTTCCAAGGCTGTAAGTCGCAATGAGAGGAGACTGCTCAACTTTCACCTCCAGAGCCTCTTGTAGACATGAACCACTAGAGGCCTAGCTTACTTATAAGCAGTGGTAACATCCCACAGACTATGTCACCAGAGACTATTAAATAAGAACAGAAAAGCTCACAGACTTTATCTTCCTTGTTAAAATACTCTGTATCCATTTACTCAGTGCTTTCCTGTTTATTAGTCCACATTAGCTCTTTCAATTCTATTTTTGGCACATTGTTTTTCAGGATGGAAAGAGAAGAATCTCTGCAGATTCAGTTCTCGCTGTAAACTCTTTTCATAGATTAAAGGCATTCCTTAGACTCTCAACTGAAGAAATGAGACTTCCCACCAAGTTAGGTGGCAATGAACCTTACTGAATTTACTCCTAATAATTTTTAGCTCTTGTTCTAACATCCTTAAAATTCTAAAAAGCATTCAAAGTAATAAATAGTGAGAATACAAGGGACACAGTATCCTAAGCATTTAAAATTAGGTCTTAAAGTAATATGCAAGTACAAGTATTTCCTAAATTCTACCTTAATAATTTCTGCAGCATTTTCTTTTTAGAAATTGTCAAAGAATCAAGTTCATTCAGTTAGAAATGAGGTACTTTGCTTTTTTAAGAGACTAACCACATTAGAACTCATGTAGAAGAAAACTAGATTAAAAAACACAAAACTGTATCCAGAGTCCACTGAGGCAGAGGTAACAAAGCATCTAGAGGAGCGCATACCATGTACTCCTCTGAAATAGACCCAGGTCCCCCAGGCAAGAGTCACACACTGCTGTGAAGTGCTAACTGACTCATAGCTGGCCCTCCATTGAGTTTCTGAGCCTATAAAGTACATGGGAGGATCTTACTGATCTTAGTCCCTCAGAGACATTCGATCTCTGGTCTGGCCACCCACTCTCTGTCATCAAGGCCAATCCGTCCACGCAACGTAAGTGAGTAGATAAAAGAAATTTCTGAGAACCTTTTCAATTCTTCTTAATCTTAAGGAACAGGATTAGTCCTTATTACCATGAAGGAGTCTCTTCTTGTGTAGAGTCACCAAGTTAGCCATACCTGTGAAGAAGTACAGAAAGGAATTCACACTTAGAACATCACAGAACCGAAAAATCCACATCCATTCAATGAAGAGCTCTCATATCTGTAACAACAGAACGGGGCAGACAAGCCTATGGCCAAGGTAATAGAAGCTCTGGTGGCTTAGTGGCAAGGAGCTGCGCTGCCATCCCAAAGGCAGGCAGTTCAAATCCACCAGCTACTCCGATGGACAAAGATAGGCAGTTTTCTCTTTGGGGCAGCTATGACTCAGTTCCAAATTGATGGTACATAACAACTACGAATGAAGCACAACTGTTCTGTGGGATAAAAACATGTATTTGTTCTTCAGTAACCAGATTCCTGGTAGTTTTTGCCAAATTGTCAAGCAAATATATTCGTTATACCTTTGAATGAAAACTAAACGGTTGTTTCTCTCTCTTTCAGCTGGTCACACAGTGTAATGCAAAATATGTGGAATGCTTTAGCGCTCAGAAGGAGTGCAACAAAGAAAAGAACAGAAACTCATCAGTTGTGCCATGTAAGCGCTGCAGATCCATCTAGGGCAGAATGTTAACTGTCAGTGCAAACAGGGCTGTGTGGTACAGCTGGATGGCAAGGCTGTCCAGCACGTCTGTCTGACGTGAAGTCTAGTTTCTGTTTGCCTCAACATTCAAGCTCTAGGCTGCTTCTCCCACATTTTAATAAAAAACTGAGATGACTGGGGTCAGCTGTAACTGGCAGCATTAAATTGTTGTGCTGTTGAGGTCAAGGTACTCTTGTCGGTTGAAGCACAGGAGCAGAGGACACACTGAGAGGTGTTATGTGCACACTATAGCCACAGGCATGGGAGGGGTCCTTGGAAGATTTCTCTCTACTGAGGAGATTGACCTTCACCTGCCTCCACACTGGGCAGAAGGCTCAGAATGAGAAGATGGAAAACAGCAAAGAATAATATTTTGATAGAAACGGGGTAGATCAAACTGAGAGAATGCTCGAAAGCCCTGTGTGGTCTCTATGGAGTGTTCTGTCAGTGAACACTTATGTGACAGCCTCTTCCACACAAGCATGTATTCCTACAATGCCTATGTCCTGAGCCTGTCCAGCAAACTTTGATTTTAGACCCTGCCTGAGCTGGTAATACTTGGTGCGGCTAAAAATGGGATAAATGTTCTAAATAAAGCGGGAGAGGCAATAAGTTACTAAGTAAATATTTGAAAGTGTTCTTGTTTCTATGTCTAGAAAGCAAATGTGCTGTTTCTCTTTTTTCCTTGTGGCAGCTGAGCGTGCGCGAGTGGGTCTTGCACCACTGCCTGGAATGAAAGGAACCGATTACATTAATGCTTCTTATATCATGGTGAGAGTCCACATTTAATTATAAATGAAGTCAATTAAACTGAAAGGTGCTAAAGAGCAGCTATCACCTAGGTGACTGGTTTTATTTTTCCCGTGATTTCTCAATGGGTAATATAGAAAATACAGTGATTTCCTTATCTTGAAACCTGGAAGAAAAGACACCTAAATCAGTGGGGGTACAGAAATGCGTAAGTCAGTGCTTCTAAAGGAATCAAGTCTATTGTTCATTTCACCCCTCTAGTCATTGAATAAACGCTGAAATTACTGTTCAGTAAAAACAGCAGGGGTAACTAGAAGAGAATTGCACATGGAGGGAAAATTGTCTACATGTGTTCCCAGAAGTACATCTGAAAATTAGTCAAATGTACTGAGTGCCTTTTTCAGTTATTTTAGTGCAGTCAAAACAATGGATTCTTATTTCACGAACACATCTTATTGCCACAATGTGAGCATAAACACTGATTTTTTTCCCCCCCTTTCTTCCCAATTGAAGGGCTATTACAGGAGCAATGAATTTATCATAACCCAGCATCCTCTACCACATACTACGAAGGATTTCTGGCGAATGATTTGGGATCATAATGCACAGATCATTGTCATGCTGCCAGACAACCAGAGCTTGGTAAGGAGAGCACATCTGCTCTGTCGTAATGAACCCAAGAAGCAGAGGTTACTTTGATACCTTGCCACCGAGTTATAGTGTCTCTGTGTGCTAGTGAGAGAATTTCCACTTACTGAAGTCTATACTGATACCTTGTATAGTCCCATAATTACTGTCCTTGCAAGTTCCATCCTCAAAACTAGATTGTTCACACAATGCAGGCAAAGATTTGGGGGAAGTAGGTCCTTTCACCTCATTACAACAATATTTTAGACAGACTTTTTACCTATTCTAAGCAGTTTTCACAAAATATCAAAATAGCTAACATTTGAATATGTAACCATGTTAACAGCATAGTCTTGGTCACATTTAAACCACTCAATCAATTTATGTGGTAAGCACTATTATCCCATTTAATTGCTGGCAAAGCTGAGGAAGCAACTTGGCCAAGGGCACATAGTAAGTAGATTCAGGATTTGAACCAGAGCCCATGCTTTGCCACCCATCTGCTATACTGTATGTCAGACTCTGCATCATAAGAAATGCTTTCCAGAATAAAAATCTAGAGTAGTGCTAGTACCAAAAATCTCCAAACTCAATGAGTCAGAACCGACTCACAACTGACCCTCCAGCAGGTATCCAAGATGATAAATAGAACAGAGAAAAATTACCTGTCATTGTTCTGATGAGCCTGTGGTGTATTCAGAGTGTCAGAGGCTTGGCCTTTGCATTAGTAGTGCAACTCTTACAGGACTGTGGCCCAGAGCTCCCTACCAATAGCAGTGTACCCTATTAATTTCCTTGTTCCATTACAAGGGAAGGACGAGTCAAGGCTAATTTTGTGCCAGTACTTTTGAAGGCCATGACTAAGCTAGCAGTTCTTTCCCCTCCCCCAGTTTAGGTCTGTAAACCATAGAGCAGAGGGGAGAGCAAGTTGGTAAAATAAGCATAAATGTTTGTGTTAAGTATGCATATGGTCTGCAAGACCAGAGCAGAATTAGTGGGTCTTCAAAATTAACTGTGTGGACATATAAGCCCACAAGGTCAAAACATAACCCAGAGAAACTCTGCTTCCAGGAGTGTCAGCTTAATGAGTGCTTTAATCAGGAAGGAACAGCCTGAGATTGAACCCCTAGTCTTGATGACATGCGTTTGACTGTGTGCCCAGGCGGTCGGAACTTCTTCACTTTGTCGCCTTGTGCTCCAGCTTCCGAATACCAAGGCTGCTTCTGTATGATAGAATGGCAGCGGGCTTGAGAATCTTTAAGTAAAAGCTGGAGTGCAAATTTTCAAATTAGCTGGCACCAGAGGTCTCTTCTCTTTGGCATGTGGAAAGCGGAGGCATTTAGGGTTGCTAAAACGTTCATTTGTTGGAAGAACCAGTATTTTGTAATAATCCCTTAACTGAGGGCAACCATCAGAAAAAAAATAGCATCTAGCCAGGAGGAGCTCATTTGCATGGGAAGGCTGGACCAGAGAAGAGATGCCATGTGCTGTAGACAGGGAGGATGCCACAGGCCTCCCTGGGACTTGTCACCTCAGTGTCTGAGACCAAGGGAGGCTGGATTGGAGTCCGAGCCAGCAGACATGCCTGGGATCCATCATGGTGTCGTTTTCCCTAGAAATAATGTCTTGGATTTCATTTCTATTATTGCTGTGGCCTTCCAATGCTGCATCAGTGTGCTTGTTGCTGCAAATGATTAGTTTGTAACTCAGAAAGGAATGTTCTGCATGTTCAGGCATCCCTGACCCGTAAATGTATCTGGAAGCACAGTAACCCCGAGCTGCCTGTAACATTTCTTTTTGCTCGTGTTTCATGATGAACGGTTAGTCGCTGGGTCAGCATGTCCAGTCAGTATTTTCTCTCTGTCTTGCTGCCATCATAAACCATAATGACATTGGTAGCCTTTAAACTAATCAGGTCATTTCCTCCTCTGGCTGTTTTAACAATTCCTGGAGACTGTGTTGTTAGTCCTACCTTTCACATATGAAAATTCAGGCTCCAAGAGAGTCATTTATCCAAGATCACTTCTGATCCTAAATCCTATACTCCTTTCACTGCAGAAAAGCTAGAAATATTTACCCCGTGTTTGTGGCTTAAATTTAGACACCCTGTCCATCATTGCTTTATGTCTGTGAAGTCTTCGGAAAAGGGCCCTCCTTCCACTTCTTTGGCCAACACATATTAAAGCCCACAACAGTTTCAGACTTCTTTTGTATAGACTAAGCCCAATTGCTAGTCTGTCTCCCCTTATGCTGAGCTTTAAAAATAAAAATGTACTTGGCAATAAGCTATATTGAAACTTGAAAGGGTGATAAGTCTTATCGGACGGTTGGCTCATTTCTAATGCAACAATATAAGATTAAACAAAGCTTGCTTTGTTTTGAGCAATTATTCAGAATTATTTCTGGCTTAACTTCCAGTAGCTAAGCATTTACCAGGAAATATCCAGAGAAATCGATACGGTTCGAGCAGCAGCTAATAGTGTAGCTTGTTATTTGAACTGATAAAAAAAAAATGGACTATGAGGTTCATCATCATCGTTGCTGTGTTTATTACAGAGCCTCCACCCTAAGCAGCAGTTGATGGTTTTCAGGAATGAAATTCAAGTACCAAGCCTGAATATCTATTTTTAATCTTAAAATGATTCAACAGTGAAAACTTGCCTGGTTCGAGACAGACTTTTGTTATTGCCTCTCAAATTCTAACATTGACACATCAATTTTTCTTTTAAAGAGCAACTTGTACTTCGAGCCTGTGTGTTTGTCTGTATGCCACCCTTTTCCAAAAAGCACCTAACTCTTGCTCTTTACAAGCAGTGGTTTAGAAAATGTTTAAACCTCTCCTCGCTTTGGCGTCCTCATCTATAAAGACACAGATGATAAAAATTCCCACCAAACTATTAAAAACAGTCCCACGGCCATCAAGTCAAGTCCAATTCACAGCAACCCTTAGTGGACGAGGTGGTCCATCTTTCTCAGAGTGCCTAGTGAGTTTTAGGAAGGTCTTTTGTAAATGCTAGTCAGTTGTAAAATTGCTTTTAACATAGTCCACAGGAAATAGCAATGAGCACGCCTTGATTGCTTATGTAGTTGTGAAAGAATAGGTTACAATGCTTTGCCTTTCCCCACAACAAATGGGAACCATTAACAAGACTCCAAACTGCATTGTTTTTACACTAGATAATGTGGGTTTTTCAAGACTTGGGGGAAAGGTGCTATTCGAATGCTTTAAATAGTTAGTGAAACTATTTTTTCAATGACTGAAAGATGACATCACTGAAAGGAGAAGTCAACGAATACACACACGTAGTTGTTGTGTGCCATAGAGTTGAAACCAACCCATAGCTGAACCTCCAGAGCATTTTCAGAGGTCGTTAATCGCACAGGAGGAGATTGCCCATCTTTTCCCCACAGAGCAACTGGTGACCTTGAACCGCTTGACTTTGGGATTGCAGTGCAGCTTATTGCCATTAAGCCACCAGAGTTTCCACATATACACATATATAAAAGGATTGTTGGGGTTTTTTCTTTAATTAATGAGGAAAACAAACTTATGAACTCTCAAAATATTTAAGCTAACTGAATAAGGTGTTACTTCCTTTTGTGCTATGACAGTTGGATTATAAAACACTTCCCAACTGGTGGCAATGCATCCCATGTAGGTGGTGTGGTTTTGGTTATCTGTCACAGGCAAGGAGTGTTACTGGCACCTAGTGTTCCAGGCTCAGACCCTGAAAGGTCAGTGGCACTCTTGTTAAGAAATGGGGTTTGTTTGGGTTTTTTTCATTATCTTCTTAACTTATTACCCACTTCTGAAGAAAACACAATCAATAGAGTAATTCAGGGCAAGCATTTTTGATAAGGATACTGTGGTTTAAAAATGGGTTTCTTGACCTCTTCAAAATTCCAATCTGTAGCTCCCCTCTGTGTATTTTATAGAGCATAGGCTGACTTTCTGGAAATAAGATACTGGCTGTATTTTTCTTACTGATACCATATTCAGTAAAATCCAGTTTACAAGACATTTCTTAGCTTCTACTTTTAGAACTCCTATATTTTCCATCTTAAAAGCCAGATTCTAGACACTAGAAACTTTACCAAGTATATTTTAGAAAAGAATACAATAACCATCGACGATAGCATGATTAGATAGGGTGTTCTGGTGGTGTTTCTGGAAAAGGTGGCTCCTCTCAGGTGGCTCAAATCCACCTGCAACTCGGTGGGAGAAAAGTGGACAGTCTCCTCTGCAGTTTGCACCCCGTAAAAGCCCACTAGAGGGTCAGCTATGAGTTTGAAATTTTTAATTTGATAATACAGTGAACCCAATTTAAAAGATGATGTCAGAAAGATGGGAAATTGCAAAGATGAGGAATCATTAAGTAACAAAACTCAGAACGAAGTATTTGATAGCATTGCAGAGAATGGGTTTTTTCCTCCCCACAGGCAGAAGATGAGTTTGTGTATTGGCCAAGTCGAGAAGAATCCATGAACTGTGAGGCCTTTACCGTCACCCTTATCAGCAAAGACAGACTGTGCCTCTCTAATGAAGAACAAATTATCATCCATGACTTTATCCTTGAAGCTACACAGGTAATCAAACGACCATTCCTCCTTGATAGCCTCGCTGGGGCCCGGGATCATCATTCTAAGTAATAATGAAGTCTCCTACCACTGTCAAGACGGGCCTAGCATAAGACTTTAGAACAAGACTTTATTTTAAATATGTACATTTCCCTTCCTTCAAATATTTGCTTTTCCCCCTAGCTGTGTAGAGGAAATGTAACAGTTTTTCTGATTCAGCAAGCATACAAATAGGCCTGTTGACCTAATTATGAAAACAATATATTAGAATCTAGTGTTTGCTTTACCATCAGAAATGTAAGCCTTGTGTTATAGTGCAGGGTTGGTGACATTAACTTGGGTTGAAGGTAGGAGTTTAGTAAACAATTCCAAGTGTATGAACTGCCTTCTTACGGTGTGGGTAAGTGTAATGGACCCTCTAATGCAGTTGTGTTAATTTTTCTCCTTGCATTTTATAGATAGGAAGATAGAGTAAGACATAAAGCTTATTATTGTTCCCCAGGAAAAATGAGATTCAGCTGTTTCATTATCCTGAACTCATTTTTTAATGTCAGGGCTACTCCCCAGTATACCGCTCGGGTCATTATACCATAGCAGAGCTGTCTGCGATAGTGAAGTCAAGGGTGGACACTGACACCTGTTTGTGTTGGCTACAGGATGACTACGTCCTAGAAGTTCGGCACTTCCAGTGTCCCAAATGGCCTAACCCAGATGCCCCCATAAGCAGCACCTTTGAACTTATCAATGTCATCAAGGAAGAGGCCTTAACAAGGGACGGCCCCACCATTGTTCATGATGAGTATGTATTCCTTCATTTTTTAAATTCAGCCGTTTCTCTATTGAATTGTTTAGGAGCAGAGAGGTAGAGCAGACTTCTGCCTGGCTCGGTGTGTGACAGATCATCTTATTTCCTACATGCACATATGCAGGGTGGTGTTCTTCTGTTTATATTTCGTATGTCCAATAAACTTTCCCAAGGCTTCAGGTTCTCTCACAGGGTATATTCCAGAAAGAAGAAGGACTGTGTCCTAGAATGTCCCTTGAGGTTTCCGAGGGTCTCAATCTTTACAGATGCAGACTGCCTAATCGTTCTCCCCTGGAGCACTAATGGGTTCTAACCACTTTCAGTTAGCAGACCAACACTTAATTTTCTATCTCCTGGGAGCTCAGGTGGCCTAGTGGTAAGAATCTGTGCTGCAATCCTAAAGGCACACAGTTCAAATCCACAGCTGCTCTGGGAGAGAAGGATGGGCAGTCTCTTCCCGTGAGACTTACTGCCCCTGAAAATCCACTGGAGAGTCAGCAAACATCATCAACAGTTCTCCTTAAATGACTCAATAGGGATTGTTTCGTCAAATTTTTCTGGAGCAATTTTGGAATCTGTAAACAATAAATAGCTCTAGTGCCAGTTAATTGTCAGTCTCCATTTTACCTGGGCTTTATGCCTTTCAAGCATGACTTGTACACTTAGATATGTACTATATGAACCATTTTCCAGAAGGCTTTCAAATGTGGCATCAGGATTAGAAGATCATCAAAGACTACAGCCTTCAGTAGGGATTATGTCTCAACATCAGGAAGATCCTCACTAGACCAGAAGGCAACATCATGATAGATAGAGAAAAGATTTAAATTGTTACTTGGATCCAAAATAACACCCTCAGTACCAACAGTAAAGAAATCAAAAGACATGTTACACTGGGGAAATCTCTCGTTGGGGACCTCTCCAAGGTGCTAAAGAGCGAGGATGTGAGTTTAAAGACTAACGTGTATCTGATCCAAGCCATCATATTTTCATTTGCTTTGTATGCGTCTGAAAGTTGGATAATGAATAAGGAAGATGTGGGAAGACTAGATGCCTTTGAATTGTGGTGTTGGCTAAGAGTACTGAATATTCTAAATCTTTTGGTTGTCAAAAGAACAAATCTTTTCTGAAAGAAATGCAACCAGGGTGTTCCGTGGAAGAAAGGAGAGTGAGACTTCATCTCAGGTACATGTTATCTGGAGAGACCAAGTTTTTGGAAAATTGGAGAGTCAGTGAAAGAGGAAGATCTTCGATGATGAGGAATGACACAGTGACTGACAATGGGCTTGTGGATGGCAGCGATCATGAGGTGGCACAGGACAGGACAAGGTTCCAGTCTGTGGTGCCAAGAGTCACTGAATCATAGGACTCGAGAACACCTAATCCCAATGGGAACCATCCCACAACAGCTTTGCTTTTTGTCTGCTCAAAATTTTCTGTCAAGGAAAAGTCAATTACATTTTAAGCTCTTTAAGTAAGAGTAAATAAGTTTGAATATATCTGTTTGGTTAAAAGATCCTTTTAACACCTCTCAGAGCTCAGAGTCAGGTGGAGGAAGCTTCTATAGAAATGATCTAAGGATAACGTCTTCACAAAAAAGTAAACCAGTTCTATTTGAGAACAGTCACAGCTTAAAAGCAAACTGCTTCGTTCTCAGTATCCTGTATTCATCTGTTCTGGACTTTATGCTCAAAGGCTGAATCTATTTCATTACTGTTAAATTTTATAACACAGCGTATGTTCCTAAGAAGAATTTTAGGCTGTACGTATGGCTCTTACACCATCATATAAGTTAATATTGGATTGGACTTTCACTCAGATTTTTTCCATTGTTCACTAAAAAAAGGATGACTTCCTAGCCAAACAACTGTTACCTCTAAAGATATCACCATTAAGCCAATTTCATTTAACAGTTCTCAAAATGTGATTGGAGTACGTATTATTGTTTTTGTTATATGCCGTTGAGTTGCCAGTGACTCATGGTGATCCTATGTTCAACAGCTCCGAAGCCTGTCTCACTAACTCTGACTCACCTACCCCCATTGCCCCAGTTACTCTATCAGTCCATCACATCCAAGGTTTTCCTCTCCTGTGCTGTCCCTCCACCCTTCCAAGCATGATGTCCTTATCAAAGGTGACTAACCATCTAACAAACAGTACAGCAAGTAATAAATGTTGGAAAGGATGTGGTGAGATAGGAACTCATATATTATTGGTGGGATTATAAAATGGTACAACCGCTCTTGAAGGCAGTTTAGTGCTTCCTCAAGAAGCTGACTATAGAAATTCCACAAGACCCACAAGACCCAGCTTTCCATTGTTTGGAATATACCCCAAGAAAATGAGAACTGAGGCTCAAATGGAGACTTGTACACCAGTATTCATGGAAGCATTATTCACCATCACAAGAACATGGAAACAGCCCAGATGTCCAACCACAATTGAATGGATTGAGAAATTATGGTCCATTCACACAATGGAATACTTCTGCAGCACACAGGAGCAATGATTTTGTAAATTACTACCTAACTGGGGAGGGACTGGAGAGGATTATGCTAAGTGAACTAACTCAGTCCCATCAGGGCAAATATTGTAGTAGAATGAGTATGAGGATACAAGGGGGGGGGCGGTTTGAAGCAGAGGAGAGGGGATGGGAGGGTGTTAATCATAGGGCCACACAAATTGGATGGGGGGGTGAGGGAAATGGGAAAGATCTTTTGTGAAAAACAATGTATTCAAACTTTGTAAATCAATATAAAATTTAAACGGGGGAATAAACAAGTAGTCATTGATACTGCTCATCCAGTATAAAAGACAAAGTATGAAACCAAAGAAGAGACTGGTCTATGGGCAGATGGCCTTATCTCTCCTAAAACCCAAAGAACTATATAGTACTTGGCTACTACTATCAACTCTTCTAATCAGGGCTACTAGATAGATCTGTACAGAATGGGAAGAAAAGATAAAACAGATTCTTAAATTCCATTAAAAAAATATCAGACTTACTGGACTGGATGAGCATGGAGGACTCCCAAGACTGTTGCTTTGAGAACATCTTCAAACTATGAACCAAAAAAAGAGCCCCTGCAGTCACTTGTGGCTAAATAATAGATTGGCTCTTAAAAGAATATCATCCTGTACTAGGGAGCTCTGTGGCTTAGAGGTAAGGAGTTCTGCTGCCAGCACATGCACTTCTGATCCACCAGCTGCTCTGTGGAAGATGGGCAGTCCCCTCCTACGGGATTTACTGCCTCTGAACACCCACTGCAAAGTCAGCTATTGACTGGTTCCGACTCAGTGGTATTCAACAACAGCCTGCCTTTAGGGGGCGCTGCTGGCCTAGCCCAGAGGGAACTGCACTGCTAACCCAAAGGCTGTGCCTCCCTCACAGTTCTAATCCACCAGAGACAGGGTCAAAGATAGACACTCTCCTCCCATTCAATTCAGAGCTTCTGAAAACCCTGCTGAGGGTCACCTATGAGTCATCTCCAACTCAAGAGCAATGAGAAGAAATGATAAGACCCTCCTTTCAAAAATGACTAGAAAAAGTACATCATTAGGGGGAACTGCCAGAAATTCAAACTAGACTCAGAAGAGGCCATGACACAAAGATGTCATTGCTGATGTCAGATGAATCTTGACTGAAAGCAGAAAATACGAAAAAGAAGTTTTCTTGTGTTTTATTGACTATACAAAGGCATTTTAATGGATAGATCCTAATAAATTATGAGAGGATGGGACTCCCAGAATACTTAATTGTGCTCATGCAAAATGTATACATAGACTAAGAAACAGTTGTCCAAACAGAACAAAGGAGCACAGCATGGTTTAAAACCAGGAAAGGTATGCAGCAGGATTGCATTCTTTCTTCAAACCTATTTAATTTGTATACTAAGCAAATAATTTGAGAAGCTATACTATGTTGTTATGTGCCGTCGAGTCGTTTGTGACTCATAGCGACCTTATGCACAACAGCCCTAAACCCTGCTCTATCCTGCGCCAACTGCACCTCCTCTGACACACCCATCCCGATTACCCCAGTCACCGAATCAATCCATCTCACAGAGGGTCTTCCCCTCCTGCACTGTCCCTCCACCCTCCCAAGCATGATGTCCCTCTCCAAGGACCCGTCCCTCCTGGCAACATGTCCAAAGCATGTCAGACGAAGCCCCAGAATCCTTGCCTCCAAGGAGTAGCTTGGTTTAATCCTCTCCAAGATGAATCTGTTTGTTTTCCTGGCAGTCCGTGGTACATTCAGTACCCTTCTCAAGCACCACAGCTCAAAAGCATCCACTCTCCTTCTGTCCTCCCTAGTCATTGTCCAACTCTCTGATGCATAACAAGCAATTGCAAATACCATGGCCTATATCAGGCGCACCTTAGTCTCCAGAGAGACACTGTTGCTCCTCAGTACTTTAGAGAGGTCCCTAACAGCAGACTTTCCCATCGCGATACGCTTTTTGATTTCCTGACTGCTGGTGCCAAGAGTGTTGACTGTGGAGCCGAGCAAACTGAAGCTGTGAACACTCTCAATCTCTTCGTCATCCATCCTGACGCTGCCAATTGGTCCAGTGGTGAGAATCTTTGTCTTCTTGACATTGAGCCTCAGTCCATACTGAAGGCTGCAGTCCTTGACCCTTCGCAGCAAGTGTATGAGGTCTTCCTCAGTTTCAGCAAGCAGGGTTGTGTCATCTGCATAACGCAGATTGTTAATAGATCTTCCACCAATCCTGATGCCACAGTTCTCCTCGTAGAGCCCAGCCTCTCGAATAATCTGCTCTGCATACATCTTGAAAAGGTATGGAGACAGGATGCATCCCTGGCGTACACCCTTCCGAATTTTGAACCATGCAGTGTTACCCTGCTCTGTTCTGACTACTGCCTCTTGGTCCAAGTATAGGTTTCACATTAGCACAATTAAATGTTCTGGGATTCCCATTCTTCTAAGAAAAATATAAAAGCATCAAGATTGAAGCCTCAACAACCTACATTAT